TCGGGTCGATCCTGTAAGCGAGCGAGTGATAGCGCGGCTTTGCGTTCCGTGATGACTCTGGGCTTGGGCCTGGACGTCTCCGGTTGTTGCGCGGCTTCTGATGCCCACTTGAGTAGCATATTCCATCGGTTCCTGGCCTGTTTCCTGGCCGGCTTGGGCCCCCAGAAATCGTCCAGGGCGCGCGCTCTGGCAGCGACGGGCCGAGCCATTGCCACGGGGCACCGCGGGGCGCCAGGTACCTCTGGTAGCGGATGCCTAACCCGGTAAGGATGTAGTCCGGGATCCATGAAGCGGCGGCGAGCCCAAACGCAACCCTGAGCTGCGCGCGTAGCGCGCGCTCTTGTATGACGTCGGGGGCTGCGTAGTTGGCAGCGTAGGGGACAAGGGAAACCAGGTATGAGTCCCACGCCGCGGCGGCACGGGCGGGGCGCATCTTGGCCAGGTGGAGGGCCATGGCTTGGTCTCTCATCTTGGGGAGGGGACGCTCCCATGTCCCTCTGGTGAGGGCGTCCGTCTGCGCCTTGGTGAGCTGCTCACCGGGGGGGGGGGGGGTTGTTCGCCCTCCGCTGCGCGCGAGACCACCACTGCGCCGAGGTATGGCCACTGGTCCTGCACGGAGGATCCTGGTCGTTCATGGTCATCTGAGTCAGGACGGCGTGCTTGATTTGGTTCTTAGCGGCGGCGGAGCTCCGCAGGTACCTAACGTTCCAGCTGGCGAGACGGGGGAGGCTGTTGGCTGGGCTTGTTTCGAGGGCCAGGATCAGGTCATCTAAGGTGCGTGTGCCGCAGAAGGAGTCCCAGGTGGGCTGGTTCCAGGGGTCGCTGTGGAGGAGACTCCAGAGGCCGCGAGGGCCACGGAACCTGAACCGACCGTGCACTTCCATGGCGGAATTAAGGACGCGGCGGGCAGCTAGCCTGGCCCGGGCACGGGGCCCAGGAACCAGTTGGTGCCTGGGGGGGGGGGGGGGGGCGCGCTTGGCGTAGCGTTCTGGGGCCGTCCGTGGAGTTTAGGGGAACGGCGACCGGGAGAGTAGGCCATCTGTCCGGAGCAGCCGCTCTGCTACGTCGTCTGGGAGGGGGTGCTTCCTGAGCCGTGCCCATGGACATTGCATTCCTGCGAAGGTCCTGGCTGCCCCCCATATCTGTGCTATCTGGTCCCGCGCGGGGGCTGGTGTGCTGATCTCTTCCCTTGGGCATCCCCTGCTCCATGCCCGTAGCGCGGAGACTATCCTTCGCTGCAAGCAGCGACGCCGACTGCGTCGTGGAGCGCTCTGCCTTGGATGCCGAGCGCTCGGTATTAGCCGGCCAAGCCGACCGCTCTTGCTCTTTCGTCGGCAGTGGGGGGCCTCAGCCCTCTTTTATGAGCCACTCCCCCCAAGCTTTGGCCTCGGCTTCTGCGGCTGGGCTTTCTCTCCCCCCCCAGACATCGCCAGGGTCAGTCCTTCTGAGCATCCAGGGAAGCGCTCTTCAGCTCTGCGCTCTGCGAGCACGCTGCGCGCTCCGTGTTTCAGCTCATTCGGGTTTCTGAGGAACCATCTCAGACTGCTATCTTCGTCGTGCAAGAGGCAGATTAGGTGTGTCTGGCAGCTGCTCGGGAGAATTGAGTCTGGGTCTCCTGGCAGGGCCCTGGACTGTGTCCAGGTGGGAAATCTTCCGTCGGGTCTGAAAGCCCACCTGGGTTCCCATGGGCTGGGAAGTCGGGGGTAGGAGGTGGTGTCGGTCGGGGGTGGGGCGCTCCCGAACCAAAGCCTTTCGCGTGGGCTGGCGACGGAGTCCCCCGCGTTCCTTCTAACAGCCCAGTCGAGGTTCAGGTCGCCCATGGCTGCGCATATGGCCTTGCGGTGGGCTGCTGGCATTGAGGCGACGTTCTCCACCAGAACCAAGATCGCGAGGCCCGGCCTTCGTTTGCTCGCCAGGCACCAAGCGACGGGGACCGCGAAGACGCAGCAGGACTGGGCGCCGGCAAGCCCGTCGTTCCCCGCGAACTGTCCAGCGGCGGAAACGTTGCTGCAGGGCGGGCCTGCCACGATGGGCAGCGTGCTGCCTTGTTCCAGGGAGTCGAGGCGTTTCCCCATGGCGTTCTGTTATCGATGGGGGCCCCGCTGCAGGAAGAGGTCCCACACATCCACCGCCAGTTGTTTATGCGGAGGGCCTCCGTTTAGAGGGTCGGGCGCTGCGCTCCACCTCCGGGCGACTGCCTCAGCGGCCTCCCTGTTGTGCTCGGCGAAAACCGAGGGCTGGAATCTGTGACCGGCTCCGAGCTTGTGAACGAGGTCGCCAATGGCGAGTCTGGCGAGCCCCCACCCGTCGCACCGTGGGGAGGCGCGGCTGCATCGCGGCAGACCACTGGCGGACGTCGGCGGGCCCCAACGCTTTGTTGCGCGGGTGCGCGACGCGTTCCTGCGACTCCCCGCAATAGAGGGGCAGCGCGATGGCGCCGCGGCCGTTGGCACCGCTGACGCGGAGCGCGGCTTCCACGGAAGGCGTTTCGCCGCCGATGGGGCCCAGAGAGGAGGCGCACCTTGCGCGTCAGCCAGAGGGCCGCGAGGGCGTCGCACCAGGGTTGCGGCCGCGCCTGGCCTGGCTGCCGCATCTCATGCTTGTGCCGCGTGCTGGAGATTGCGAGCGTGCGCGACCTGCGCTTCGCCTTGCTGTTGTGTCGGGGTGGTGTTCTGGAGCTGCTGGGCGCACTGCGCGGCGCCTGCTGGTTTTGCGCCCCTTGACTTAGGGGCGAGCACCGCGCTCCCTCGGCTGGCTGGTTTCGCCCCCGGCGACGGGGTGGGCGCCGCTCCTGCGGCGCCCTCGTTTGTTCGCTCCGCACGCGCCACGGCGCGTTCCGCCGCTGCGGGGCCCGCCCGCGCGCGCGGGCTCCGCTGCCGCGGCGCCCTGCCCTCGCCATCGCTGACCACGGGCGGCGGCTGCGAGGGCTGCCCGGGGAAGCAGAGAGGGAGGATGAGGGGGGCGGCGGAACGGGCGGGGGGGGGGGGGGCGATGGGGGCGGGACGAGGAAACGTTGAATGATAGATGAGGGCGAGGAGTGGATGCGAACGGCTGGAGGGAGGGATGGGCGGAGGGAGGGGGTTTGTTTCCTTTTGTCTCTCGCCGTCGGGAACTATCGCGGCGGTCGCGAGCGCGCGCGGCCGTCCGCAGGCACCGCTGCTACGGCGCCTTGCCTTTAGAGACTTGGCGGCCAACGCTGGTCTCTCCTGCTGGTCAGCCAGCGCGAGTGCCGCCGCTGCCGCGGCGCCCGCTGCTGCTGGCGCTCTCGTGGGTTGCGCGGCTGGCTCGGCCCCGCTGCTGCGGCCGCCCCGCGCAGAGCCCCGTTGCTGCGATGCCCCCGTCTCTTTCTGGGGATCAAATCTGACCTCTCCCTGGCGGCCTAAATCGGCATGGTGCCTGAAGGTTCCCCGTCCAAGAGAGTGGCCCAAACCGCCGCGCGGCTCCTGCGCGACCTCGCGGTGCGGGGCCGCTGCCCACGCTGAGCATTTCCGGGGGCCCACGCTGGGTGGAGTCCGACGCCGCCGCCATCGCTTCGGTGGAGGACATAGCCCCGTATTGGCAGTTTCGTGCGCCGAATCCTTTGCCCATCCTCCACGCGGTTCTGGTGGTGCCGCTTGTGGTCGTAGCTGCCCCTGCGGACCACCAAGGGGCAGCACGTTATCCGAACCTGCCCAGAGGCGCCGCCGACGAGTTCTCGGATGTCGCAGTCGCGGAGCTGCGCCACCATTTCCTGCCATTTCCACTGCGCGTGCTCGTTCTCTTCGAACCCGAAATGCGACCTCGGCCCGCTATCCACCGCGGCCACCATGACCTGCCGCCAATTGTCGAACAGCGAACAGCTTGGGCTGCGATTGGACGAGCCGATGTGGGTATTCCTGCTCTTGTCGCCACCACTTCAACGCCTGGTTGTGTTGTTGGAGCGCCCCGCTGAAGATCCTGTAATCCAGGAAATACGCGACGCCACGTCGTACTCATCTCCAATTGGGGCCGCCGCTGATGCGGCGACCGCGGGCGCCGCCGTGGCAACGGCTGGTTGCTACGAGGGTGCTGCGGCCGCCGCTGCTGCGGCGGGCCTCCACCGCTCCTGCGGCGCACGCGTCAATCCAAGGACCCACTGCCCAGTTCGCTCGTGGGCCTCACTGTAGGCGCCCAAGTCGGGCGGGCCCAAACCAAGAACAGGCCCGCGGATCGCCCCGCTGAGCTCTCTGTCGGCCTCCGCTACTGCGGCGGTTCCTGCCTCGGCGTCGCGGCCGCCCCAGCCCCAGCCGCGGCCGCCCCAGCCCCAGCCGCGGCCGCCCCCGTCCCAGACGCCCCCGCTCCGCCCGCGGCTCTCCCAGCTGCCCGCCCACTGCCAACCGCCGCTGCTGCGCCAATCTTGGCCTTCCCATCCGTCGGGCCCGTTCCCACCGTCGCGCCAGTCGGCTGGATATCCTCCCCGATGGGCCGCCGCTGCTGCGGCGGCCTCCTTGGAGCGCCCCAAAGGCCACGCTTCCAGGCGGATCGCCACTCATCATGCGAATTGTCCTACATGGCGCGCTTCGAGCCGCGCGCGGCCCGAACGCTTGGTTGCGCGCGCTGGCCTTTCGGTGGCGCAAGCGCTGATTTGAGAACAAACGTTTGCAACGATGACGGCGACGACGACGGCGACGGCGTCGACGGAGAGGACGAAGACATGAGGGGTAGGAGCGGAAACAAAACGTCGAAACAAATACATACCGATCAAGCGGATGAGGGATGCAAGGCATACCCGAGAGAGAATGCCTACTTTGAATAACACGCAACCCCTCCTGGTGGGAGGGGTTGCGCGCCCCTCCCAAAAACGAGCCCCTCCCATTGGGAGGGGTTGAATCATACCACGATTCCTGCTTTAGGATTACCCGTGGGCGATCCCCACCCCCAAGCCTATCACCCCCCAGCGCTGCCCATGAGAGGCCCTCCTCGCCCATCCTGCCCGCCCCACCTCCGAAGCCCTGGGCAGCCCAGGCCGGGCTCGGGGATTCCTTGGACTCCCACTCTATCGGCAAGGTGCCCGGCGGCGGGACCACGACCTGGCCGCCAGGCGGAGCCGATGGCCGCTGGTCGAGGCCCGCCCGCCGCTCCCACCGCTGCCGCCGCCGCCGTCGCCGCCCATCTCGGGTTCCGCCACGGCCCGCCTTCTGGGCCGCGTCCGGCCGTGGCCTCCAGGGACGCTCCCAGAAACCTCCAGGACGACGAAGACGGCGACGACGCAACGACGCCAGAGGCGGCGACGACGACCACGACGACGACGACGACGGCGGCAGAGGCTCTGTCGGCAGCTGGCCGCCTCAGTGAGGAGGGAAGCAAAGAGGGAGGGGACGAAGGGATGAGGGGGAGGTGCGACGCGGGGGGTTCTGGATTGCGACGCTGACAGAAGCCGACGGCCTGTCAGCAGAGTGCGGCGCTGCAGCTAGCATAATATTTGAAAAGCCAGACAACTCTGCACAGGCACCAGGTAACAAGTACAATGAAACAAATAGTGCAGGCCTGGGTAAGTGCGAGCAGCAAAACAGCGGTACATCAACCACGGCGGTCCGAATCCCTCACCAAAGCAGAGAGTGGGAACTACGCTCATCAGACAAATGTACCTGAAGGGGGGTGTTATCTTCGGCCCCCAATGCGGTACGCAGACGAGAGGAGGGAGGGACGAAGGAAAGGAGGAATGGAGGGAGGGACCACCACCGCGACCGCCCCGCTCCTCACCCCTCCTTCCTCTCCCTCCCATTGACTGCTGGGCCGCCCCGGCCCCAGCGCGCGCTTTGCGCCTGTCTCCCTGCCCCCCCCCTGCTTCTCGCAGCGACGTCAATTATTCATTGCGTCGGCAGGTCATGCATGAACGAAACGCAGCCTGGAGCAAAGAGCGTCACCGGGCCAGGCCTTAATGAAGGAACATGGCCCCGGCAGTCGCCGACGTGGACCCCAAGACACTAACCCCACTGCCTGGGGGTCTCCCTGTATGCCGGGGGTGGGAACCCACTCGGGTGCTTCCGGGCCGGGGACGGAGGGGAAGAAACCAATGGGAGGAGCGGCAAGGCGAGGCGATCGTAATCAGGGGCGGTCCGCCCGCGCACAGCTCTGGAAGCACGCCGCACGCGGCGGAAAGCATGCGATCGTGAGGGCCTGATGGCGGGACTCCACGGGCAGTCCCGTAGCACTCGGGGAGCGGTGAAGCCTGGACAGGGCGAGGGAACGAGGCAAGAAGGGCAGGCGAGAAGGGGGAGGAGACGAGGACGAGGAGGGAGGAAACGAGGACAATGAAGGGCAGGAGAGGACGAAGAGGATGGGCAGGCGACAGCGAGGAGGGAAGGATGATGGGGAGGACCAGCGTGAAACCGAAACGCGCTCACGACGTCGCAGTAAACCCTCCCTCCAAGTTCCATGTTCACCGGCCCCTACATAATGAATTGTCATTGCGGGATGTGCACCATTGAGAAACAACCGTTTGAGAATTCTCAACCCTTCCAGAACAATGTTCCTGGGACTCCAACGACGCGGATCAACGTGTGTGTCCTGACAAATCCCAAGTCGTGAAAGAACACTACTCCTGGGACTTCAACACCGCGAATAAACGTGACAGTCGCGTCCTGACAGTCCTAAGTTGCGCCCACAGATCATTCGTGGAACTTCAACACCACGCATCAACGTGAATGATGCGTCCTGACAATCCGAAGCCGTGCCAAAACACCGGTCTTGGGGCTGCAACTCTACGATGTATAGAACGATTGCGAACTTTTAATACCCATGCGCGCGGCGCTAAGGCGAGAACAACCTTTTGAAAAAGAGCCGCTCTCCATCCTTCAAACTGTATCAAACCTTTCAGACGAGTGTGCACGGCGCAGGAGCGAGAGCCACATTTTGAAAGCGGCACACCCCCCATCCTTACAACTGCTGCGAACTTTTAGGGCACATGTGCACCACGCTAAAACGAGAGCCATATTTCGGTACCGTCACGCGCTCAATCCTTGGAACTGCTGCCAACTTTGAGTATGTGCGCGGCGCTATAGCGAGAACCACATTTCGAGAACGACCCGCACTCTGCTCTTCACGCTGATGGAATATCAAGCTTCAAGATCATACATGGTGAGGGAGTCTTAGGCGAAACGTCCGACAAGCCCTATCGGCACGTCTGAGGGTGCGACAGGGAGGAAATAGTTGTAAGGAAAAGGGATGGACGAGGAGGGATGGGGGAGGATGACAGCATCCTCTGAAAACACACATGCCAGCAACGTCAGCGTCAGAGGCAGGGAAAAGGGAAGACCGAAGATCGAATATCGACGCTTGCTACCTCCAATTACCTTTGGGACCTTCCATGAAGGATGCATTCAGAGACCTCCAATCCTCTGGGGAGGGAAACCATCGTTTAAGCTGTTGCACGCCCACTTTTAAGGCTCTTGGAACGCCCTCGTCAGCACGGCTGGGTTCGGCTCGACATGTTCTCTGGGGAGCTGATCTTGAGAAACCATGCCCAGACCAACGATGATGAGGGAGGGAGGGACGGAGAAGGGGAAGGAGGCTTTCGGATGTCCTTAGGAATTTGTCTCAACCATCCTGTGGTGTTGGGTCCTCGTTTTGAAAAGATGGTCCCCGCGATCCTCCTCTCTCCTCTTCCTCCTCCCCTTCTTCCCCCCGCTCCCTCCTCCCTGCGTTTCCCCCACCCAATACAGCGCTTCGTGGCCCCATAGGGAGCTACACCGAAGGCCCCAATGAGGGTTCCCGCATGCGTCCGCCACACCCAGTACAACGTTCTGTGGCCCCATAGGGGGCTCCACCGAAGGTCCCAATGGGGTCGCCCACCTGCGTCTGGCACACCCAGTACAACGTTTCGTGAACCCCATAAGGAGCTCCACCGAAGGCCCCAGTGGGGGTGCCCACATACATCCGCCACACCCAGTACAGCGCATCGTGGCCCCATAAGGAGCTCCACCGAAGGCCCCAGTGGGGGTGCCCGCATGCGTCCGCCACACCCAGTACAGCGTTTCGTGGCCCCATCGGGAGCTCCACCGAAGGCCCCAGTGGGGGTGCCCGCATGCGCCCGCCACACCAGTACAACGTTTCGTGGCCCCATGGGGAGCTCCAACGAAGGCCCCAGTGGGGGTGCCCGCATGCGTCCGCCACACCCAGTACAGCTTTCCGTGGGCCCATAGGGAATTCCACCGAAGGTCTCAGTGGGACCGCCCGCATGCGCCTGCAACAACCAGTACAACGTTTCGTGGCCCCATGGGGAGCTCCACCGAAGGCCCCAGTGGGGGTGCCCGCATACATCCGCCACACCCAGTACAGCGCTTCGCGAACTCATAGAGAACTGCAACGAAGGCCCACCAGGACCGCCCGCATGCGTCCCCCCCCCCCCCACCCATTACGGCACGCCTCATCACGCGTTGCGTGGCCCGCCGGAAGGGGCACCCACAACGCGTCACTCACAAGTACACATGGTTGGGTCCTTCGAAAGGATAAATTTGGAGGGTTATTGGAACTTGTCGGGAAGATCGGTTGGCCTTCAGAAATTTTGGAGATTTCGGTCGGCTGGCGAAGGTAGATGGAGATCTCAGGGCTGAGGGGACGAAGACGAGAAGCCTGAGGAGAAGCTGGAGGAGAAGGAATATGAGTGGGGAGAAGAGGAAGACGGGAAAGGAGAAGGAGGATGAGGACTGCGCTGGTCAAGGAGGAGGAGGAGGATGATGATGAGGAGGAGGAGGCGAAGGAGGGAGAGGAGAAGGCAAGGGAGGAGGGAGGAGCAGCGTAGGCAGGGAGAGAGAGAGGCACAGGGACGGCAGAGGGGACACATTTTCAACACTTGTCGGTGGTGTTCGAATGTGTTCGGGTATATTATGATGAGATTGGCAAGCTGACAAATGTGTTCGCGAATGTGGGATGGCACTGATACACTTAGGAGAAGGAGGGAATTGGAATATGGAGGCGAGATGGAAAAGGAATGGAGGAGAGAAGATGAAAGGAGGGGGAGGATGGGAAGACGGGGAATGGAAGAGGGAGGATGAAAGAATTGATGAACATCTGAATGTTCTTCGACCCTGGCGGGACGGCGTGCGGTCTGACTAGGAGTCCAGCGGGCTATCTGCCCAGGACTCCGAGGCGAATCCAGTCGTGGTGACGAGGGAAGGGTTCCGGACACCCGGTGCTTCGTTTTTACCCCAGACCCGGATCATTTTTTGACGGCTCCGAAGCGGTCCCGAGGCACGAAAGCGGCCTCCAGAGATGTAGACAAAACGGCCACTTCGAATTTCTTCTTCTATGCGCCAGATGTCTTTGGCAGCGGTATCTGCATCTTTCTCTTGTGATTTTTGTTCGCCCTTCGCGAAGCGGCAGGTGAAAGGCGGGAATTTATCCATATCCACCGCCTGACAACAGTGGGCGGTGAATCTGGATACATCTTGGCCCCCCCAGGGGCACGAACATATCTCCAAATCTGCCGCCTGCCGGGGCCAGGAAGATCGGTTCCTCAGGCCGCCTGCCAGATCTGAGCCTCAGACATCGCGCGCGAAGCGGGGCTTGAGCAAGGCAAAATCTGTCGCCGCAGAGCTGGGTTTCGCCGAGTTCCACGACGAGCGAGAGCGGGCTGCTGGCGGCCAGAACGCTCGGGTACCGCGGCGCCCGCGACAACCCTCACGCGTCGACGAGATCCTCTTGCAGGGGATACCCGTCGGGCGTCGGGGGGACCCCTCGAAGGGGAGCCTCGGAGCAGGGAGGCCTCCCCCTGCCGGAGGCGGCGGGGGCGGCAGAGGGCCGCCCGACCTGCAGCAGCTGCCTGGCCCGGGGCACCGCCCGGCCCAGCGCCGACTTGGCGCCGGCCGCCATCTCGCGCCCTCCGCTGGCTCGCCGCCGCGGCGGCCGTCGCCGCCGCCGCCGCCAGGTGCCCTTCAAGAGTCTTTCGAGGCCTTCGGGGGGACGACAAGTCCGTGACTTTCCAAGGGCCTTCGGGGCTCCGCAGGTCCAGGGAGGCCCCGTTGGAGGCCCCAGCTGGAGACCTTCGGAGGCCCCCGGGTGCCCACCGAAGAAGCCGCGGCATCGACGGCCGAAGTTGTCGGGGGGTCGTTGACGCCGCCGCCGTCGCCTACAAGCCTTTGGGGGCGCTTCCAGAAAAGTTCGGACACGTCTCGGGATACGGCCGGGGCGCGGCAGAACTGGGCCTCCCAGAATGTCCCGCGAGCGAGAGACACGTCGCGGCGCCCCGAGGTCTCTCTCCTCGAGAACTCCTGGGCCCCCTGCACGGAATATGCCCGAGGACGAGGAGTAGGGGCGAAAGGACACAACAAGCGGCGTGCCAGAAGATTTTCCCAAATTTCGGCGGCTGGGGGAAATCAAATTTGTTCAGGCCGCGGGCCTGCCAACAAAAAATGCTCCTGCTGAATAAATTGCAACTAGCTGCAAAGAGCGGGTCGGAATGCATGGGGGCCGCTGGCTCGACAAGGAATGCATGGGGACCACAGAAGAGACGGACAGAGGAAAAAAACGAGGAATACTGAAACAATCAAGAAGCACCACCATAATAAGTACTACTCAGAAGAATAAACATAATGGAGTCGAACAGGAGCGGGGGAGGGGCGAGGAGCTGGGGGGGAGCTGGAACACATAGTACAAGTAACAGTAGCAGTAGTAGTAGTAGTAGTAGTAGCAGTAGTAGTAGTAGTAGTAGTAGTAGTAGTAGTAGTAGTAGTAGTAGTCGTAGTAGTAGTAGTAGTAATAGTAGTAGTAGTAGTAGTAGTAGTAGTAGTAGTAGCAGTAGCAGTAGCAGTAGCAGTAGCAGTAGCAGTAGCAGTAGCAGTAGCAGTCGTAGTCGTAGTCGTAGTCGTAGTCGTAGTCGTAGTCGTAGTAGTAGTAGTAGTGTAGTAGTAGTAGAAGTAGTAGTAGTAGTAGTAGTAGTAGTAGTAGTAGTAGTAGTAGTAGTAGTAGTAGTAGTAGTAGTAGTAGAAGTAGCAGTCGTAGTAGTCGTAGTCGTAGTCGTAGTAGTAGTAGTAGTAGTAGTAGTAGTAGTAGTAGTAGTAGTAGTAGTAGTAGTAGTAGTAGTCGGGATAGCAGTAGTAGTCGTAGTAGTCGTAGTAGTCGTAGTAGTAGTAGTAGTAGTAGTAGTAGTAGAAGTAGAAGTAGAAGTAGTAGTCGTAGTAGTAGTAGTAGTAGTAATAATAGTGGTGGTGGTAGTAGTAGTAGTAGCAGTAGTAGTAGTAGTAGGTGTGGTAGTAGTAATAATAATAATAGAAGTGGTAGGAGTAGCGGCACTCGGAGTTAGACGTCGTCGTAATAATAATAGTAGCTGTAGTTGTCGCATTAGTACTGGTAGGAGTCATAGTAAATGTGGTAGTAGTAGTCGTAGTAGTAGTAGTAGTAGTAGTAGTAGTAGTAATAATAGTAATAGTAAAAGTAATGGTAGTAGTAGTAGTAGTAGTAGTAGTAAAAGCAGTCGCAGAAATAATAGTCGTCGTTGTAGAAGTCGTAGTACTCGTAGCAGTACTAGTCGTCGTCGCCGTAGTAGTAGGAGTAGTGATCGCAATCGTATCCGTAGTAGGTGTCGCAGTGGTGGTAATAGTAGCAATGAATGCAATAGTAGCGGTTGTAGTAGTAGTCGTCGTAGTGGGAGAAAAAATAGAGGTAGTGGTCGAAGTAATAGTAACAATGGTAATATGACTAGTCGTAGTAGTAGCAGTCGTCGTCGTCATAGAAGCCGAAAGAGATGCGGGAGTGGTAGTAATAGAACTAGTAGTAGTAGTAATAGTAGTAGTGGTAGTGGTAGTAGTAGTCGTAGTAGTAGTAGCGGTAGTGGGTCAAACTAATAGTGGTAATCAACGCAATGGGGAAATATTCGCCGTCGCGCGAAAGGTAAACGGAATGATAATATTACTAATAAAAATCGTGGTAGTGGTAGCAGTAAGTTTAATTCGTGTAGTGGTAGTAGTAGTAGCAGTAGTCGTAGTAGTCGTAATAGTCGTAGTAGTAGTAGTAGTAGTAGTAGTAGTAGTAGTAAAAGTAGTAGTAGTAGTAGTAGTAGTCGTCGTCGCGGTAGCAGTTGTAGTAGTAGTAGTAATAGTAGTAGTCGTAGTCGTAGTGGTAGTAGTGGTATTAGAAAGGGAAGAAATAGTAATAGCAATACGAATCGTGAAAGTAGTCGCGGTAGCAGTAGCAGTAATAGTAGCAGTGGTAGTAGTAGTAGTAGTAGTAGTAGTAGTAGTAGTAGCAGTAGTAGTAGTAGTGGTAATAAAACAAGTAGTAGTAGTAGTAGTAGTAGTAGTAGTAATAGTAGTAGTAGTAGTAGTAGTAGTAGTAGTCGTAATATTAGCAGCAATAATAGTAGCGGTAGTAACCGTAGTCGTAGTCGTCGTGATATTAGTAGTAGTACGTCGTAGCACTGCGAATGGAAACGACACTCGTGATAGCAGTCGTAATGATAGAAAACTGAAAGCAATAATAAAAGTAGTAGCAGTAGTAGTGATAGTACGAGTAGTAATGATAATAGTAGTAGTAGTAGTCGTCGTAGTAGTAGTAGTAGTAGCAGTAGTAGTAGTAGTAGTAGCAGTAGTAGCCGCAGTAGAAATAATATTATGGCTAGTACTGGTCGCCGTGGAAGGAGTAGTCGTACAACACATGGAGTTCGCAATAGTTGCAGAAGCCCAAATTTGTAGTGAAAAAAATAATTCTAACTGTGGTAATCGAAGAGGTCGCAGCACTGGCCATACGAAGAAATCGAAATCGTAGCAGTCGTAGCAGCAGACGAAGCAGTAGAAGTAGTAGTAGTAGTAGTAGTAGTAGCAAAAGTAATGGTAGTAGTCGTCGTAATAGTATTGATAGTAGTAGTAGTAGTGGTAGTAATAGTAATAGTAGTAGTAGTAGTAGTAGTAGTCGTAGTAGCAGTAGTAGTCGTAGTAGCAGTAATAGATGTAGTCATAGTAGTAGTAGTAGTAGTAGTAGTAGTAGAAGAAGTAGCGGTACTAGCAGCAATAGTCATGGTAATAATATTAATACGGGTAGCAGAAGTAGTCGTAATAATCATCGCAGTAGTAGTCGTAGTAGTAGTAGTAGTAGTAGCAGTAGCAGTAGTACTAGTAGTAGTAGTAGTAGTAGTAGTCGTCGTAGTAGTAGCAATCGTAGTCGTAGTGGGTGTAATACTCGTGACCGTAGTAGTAGTAGTAGTAGTCGTCGTAGTAGTCGTAGTAGTAGTAGTAGTAGTAGTAGTAGTAGTAGTAGTCGTAGTCGTAGTCGTAGTAGTAGTGGTAGTAGTAGTAGTAGTAATAATCGTGGTAGTAGTAGTAGTAGTAAGAATACTAGTAGCAGTAGTAGTAGTAGTAGTAGTAATGATAATAGTGGTAGCCTATGTCAGTGTTGTCAAGTTAGTAGTAGTCGTGCTGGTAAGAGTGGAAGGGGTAGAAGTAGTAGCCGTAGTAGTAGTAGTAGTAGCATAAGCAGCCATAGTAGTAGTAGTAGTAGTAGTAGTAGTAGTAGTAGTAGTAGAAGTAATAGTAGTAGTAGTTGTACTAGTAGTAGTTGTACTAGTAGTAGTAGTAGTCGTCGTAGTAGTAGTAGTCGTCGTAGTAGTCGTAGTAGTAGTCGTAGTAGTAGTAGTACTAGTAGTAGTAGTAGTAGTAGTCGTCGTCGTCGTAGTAGTACCAGTAATACTAATAGTGGTTGCCGTCGCTTTGGTAATCGTAATAATACTAATCGTCGTCGTCGTCTGCGTATTGGTGTTCGTCGTCGTCGAAGTAATTGCCGTCGTCTTGGCAGTAACCCTCCTTGGTTGGGTATTCGTTTTGCATAGACCACTGCGGTCTCCAGTCCTCCTCCTCCTCCGGGCTCCCGTCTCCCGCTTCCGTCTTGACTCGTATTGTCTTGTGCGTACCTCGTGTGCGCGTGTGTATGTGCGCCGTCTTTGGGGGGCTGCGATCTGCGACACTGTCGCCACTTTCGAGGGCTGCTGGCGGGTCCAGCGGATTGAGGCACCGCGTGGATCTGAGCGGGACCTCGCCGTCCCTGGGGGGCTGCGATCTGCGACGCGGTCGCCGCTTTCGAGGGCTGCTGGTGGGTCCAGCGACGCGAGGCACCGCGGGGATCTGAGCGGGACCTCCCCGTCCCTGGGCGCTGCGACCTGCGACGCTGTCGCCGCATTCGAAGGCTGCTGGTTGGTCCTGCGGAGTGAAGCACCGCGCGGATCTGAGCGGGACCCCTCCGTCATTGGGGGGCTGCGAGCTGCGACAATGCTCCGCGATGCCCACGTCGGCGGTGGCGCCAGTGACGAGGGCCGCCCTGGCCCACCACGGAGCAGCGCCGCGGGTTGGGCGCGATCACCCTCGCGCTCCACAACCTCCAGCTGCGGGAACAGGCCGTGAGCGGCCGCGGTGGCCGAGGTGCGCGCAGCGACGCCGATGGCGGCCGCTCCGTGGACGACGAGACCGCCCACGATGAGACGTGGCGACCACGGGCGCCCTCAGCGGTCATGGAGGCAAACGCCACCGCCGACGCAGCAACAAGGCCGCCTACGGCCAAGCCCCCCCGCCGAGCGGCGGCACACCTGCCGCGCTCGAGGACGCCGAGATGATGGCGGACGAGGACTACGCCGAGGCGGGCTACGTCCACTGCATGGGCGCGTACTGGGTCCCGCCGCAGCGCCTGGGCTGGTGTCGGGCGTGCTCAGAGCTGGACGACTGGAAGATCATGATGGTGGAGTACGTGGACGAGCTCAGTTGCGGTGAGATGCGCCGCTACGCCGAGGCTTCAGGGCGCAACCCGCAATGCCCCGAGCTGCGGAAGGGTGCTCAGGGCCAATACAAGCTATACACGTGCTCGCGCTGCGTGGCGGCGACGCAGAACATCACCGAGCACGAGGCCGTGACGCGCGCAGCGCGCCTGAACAAGGGCGCTGGCTCCATCGACCACGCCGCCAAGCGAGTGGCGAAGTTCCGCGCGAGCTTCGACCACATCAAGGAGGGCATGGACGTGCTGGTGGGGTTCGCGCTCTCCGACGACGGCCTGCTGGCCCTGCGGAGGTCAACGGAGGGCGTCGGGGTGGGCATCGATCCCGAGAGCCGGTGGCGGAGGAGGTCGGTCGCCCGATGTCGGTGGAGGTGGTGCCGGGGCCGCCCCGCGCGCCACCTCCACCCCTCGAGGATGAACCTGGCCCCGCAGACCCTGCACGTGGCGAGGAGAACGACCCCCCGCCCGACAACGACGCTGAGGACCAGGAGCACCAGCTGACCAACGCCAAGACCGTGGAGGAGGTCACGGATATCGAGCGCCTGCTGCGGCTCGGGCTCTCCAAGAAATCACTGAAGCGTATGGCGCGGGCCTATGGTGTCCTCAAATTCGAGACCATGCGCGCCCACATGCTGGGAGGCCTGAGGCCCATCCTGGAGAAGAAGGAGGACATGGTGAGGGGCGCAGAGGCGCAGGACGGGGTCCAGAAGTGGCTCGGCGCGCTGAATGAGGGGGCAGAGGATGATGTGGGAAGGCTGAAGAAGGGCCTCCTGGAAGCCTCGGGGGTCGCGGACGCACACCTGGGACACAAACGTGCCTGGAAGGAGGAGTGCCAAGGCAACGCCATGGCGCAGGAGGCCTACCGACGCATGGGCGACTACACGGATCAGTTCTACCGTGGCAAGGGCTTTACGTTCAACATGTACTACACGTGCTCGGCTAACGAGACCTGGGACAATCCCAGGGGATGCTGCTCGGTGATCCGCTCGGATCGCTGGACGCAACTGCTCACCTGCGCGCAGGAGGGGGCGGGGGAGACAGGCCAGCGCTGGTACTGCCATTGTGGGGCGCGCTACGCGACCTCCTACGGCGTCTGCATCGAGTTGATGGAGGAAGAGCAGAACCCGCCACGTGCGTATTACATGCGCGCGGAACACCCCGAGGAGGACATCCGCGACTTGAAGGCCCTGCTGCGTTACGACAAGCTCAAGAAGGATGGGGGTAGCGGTGATCAGCGCTGTGGACCTCCTGAAGCACCTGCCCAAGGTCCAGCCGCCGGCGGTGGGCACCGTCTTCAAGCGCTACGCTCCAGAGCAGCCGCAGTGGGAGGGCCACTATGCGCTGATGGATGGGCTCTCCTGGGAGGGCCTGACCGAGTACAAGTGGACCGACCTGTACGCGCAGGTCGCCTGGGGGCTGAACGATCCAGAGTGGGCGGGCTACACCAAGAAGCAGCGGAATAGGGCCAAGAGGGAGCGCCTGGCGACCGCGCACAACGAGCTGGCGCTCTACGAGCGCCGCCACAACCTTCGGGAGGGCAGCCTCACGGGCGGCGGGGGCGGCGCCGGGGCCGCCCCGCGCGCCGCCTCCGCCCGCGCCGCCAGCGCCCCTCCAGCGGGCGTGGCCCGCGGCAGCCAGGGCCCGCCACCGCCGCCTGCTGGGGCCCCGCCAGCGGCCATCATGGCCCCGCCACCGCCGCCGCCGACGGCGCCCCCTGTGGCGCCGCCGCCGCCGACGGACCCGCCGCCGCCGACGGGCCCGCTCCCGCAGCAAATCCCGAATGTTGCCGCCCTGAACGTGGCCCTCGGCGAAGATCTCGAGCGCCAGATCTTTGGGCCCTCAGGGCAGGCGGGCAGCAGGGGCGACCTCGGGGGAGAAGTGCAAGCGCTGCCGTCGCAGGTCTTTGCAGCCATCGCGCAAGGAGCAGGCCAGTCCGCCTGAACGATGAAACCCAGTAGGCCCACAGCATCGAATACTTATAAGCCCTCGGGGAGGCTAAAGGAGTCCATGTAAAGATCCCGAGCCAGCCACTCTCAAGATGCTGAACCTGTAGGTTTGCTTACGCCCCAGCTTTAGCAACTCCGCCTGGCCAGCGAGCGCGGGCTTCGCGCGGGCAACTGTGCGCCTAGCCATTCTGGCTTGCCTGCCTGGCCTCCTCTCACGCCCACTTGCGCTCGTGGGCCTCGCTGGCGGTGCTGGGGCCGCCCCGCGCGCTGCCGCGACGCCGCTGGGCGCCTGGCCAGTTTGGCTTGCCATCCTGGCCTCTTCTCGCGCCTACTCGCGCTAGTCGGCCTCGGTGGCGGCACCGGGGTCGCCCCGCGTGCTGCTGCGCCGCCGCTGTCGCTTCACTTGGGGCCGTAGGGACCAGCTGCCCTCGGATAAGCGCCCGCCGCTGCATGCACGTCAGACCCGCCTTTCACCCAGAAGAGGTGCTCGCTACATACTGGAAATGAGGCAGCCACAAGGACGCTCTCCCCAAGGCGGTTGAGCCGTGGTGATGTGGTGCACGAGACCGCCAGTAGTAGTAATAGTAGTAGTAGTAGTAGTAGTAGTAGTAGTAGTAGTAGTAGTAGTAGCAGTAGCATTAGCAGTAGCAGTAGCAGTAGTAGTAGTAGTAGTAGTAGTAGTAGTAGTACGTAGTAGTAGTAGTAGTAGTAGTAGTAGTAGTAGTAATGGTAGTAGTAGTAGTAGTAGTAGTCGTAGTAGTAGTAGTAGTCATAATAGTAATGGTCGTAGTAGTAGCACTAGTAGCAGTGGTAGTAGTAGTAGTAGTAGTAGTAGTAGTGGTGGT